GTAGTTATGACTACCAGTGAATTTAGGATTAAAAATCAATAATTCTTGAAAAACATGTAATGGAAGAGTACATGTTAAATAACCATGTTCGATTTTCTAAAAGAAACTCACTTCAAATATAACTTACACAGGATGAAAATAGAATATATTACAAAATACAATAGAGGATGGGGAAAGATATAATGGAAACATTAATAAAAGGAAAGGAAAAGTACTTATACCAGAAAAAGTAAATTTCAGAACAAATAAAATTACTAGACACAGAGTCATTATATAATGATAAACAAGTAAATCTATCAAGATGTAGTACTTCTAAATGTGCATATACCAGATAACAAAGTTAAACTGATGAAGAAAAAACTGAGAACTAAAATGAAAAATTGTAGATTTTAATACAGCTCTGTCAACAACTGGTGAGAAAGCTAGACAAAAAAAAATTCAACCAGGGTATAGAAGAACTTAGTAACATCAGCCAATGAAATATAATCAGTGTTTATAGGACACTCCCAAGAAAGGCAAAACCAAGTGAAGTTTATTGTGATGGAAAACTTCAGTATCAGAAAATCAATTAATATGCAATATTAATAGGAAAATTACAAGTCAATTTATATATAAATGAATTTGACATCATTCATGACCCATTTGTAATGTCAAAAAACTCAAAAATAGAAATAAAAGTGCATTTCCTCAATTTTATGAAATGTATCTGAAGCTTACAGCTGAAATAATAATGAAGATAATAATGCAATTTTAAGCTAGGGATTATGGATGTTCCCTCTAATCTTTCCTATTCAACATAGCCCTGAAAATTCTTGTTAGTACAATAAAAAAAAATGTATGCATAGATTTCAAAAAGAGAAAATTATCCATATTTTCAGGGGACAGAATTATCTGGAGAAAATCCAAAGAATCAAAACACAAAATACTCCTAGAACTAAAAACTGAGTTCATCAAGCTTGTAGAATATATTGCAGAATGCAATATAATATAAACATAAACATGTGCTGCTTTTTAATATATATAAATATGCATATATAAATCGCGTGTGTGCTTATATATTGGCAAAGAATCTATGCCTGGCAAATAAAATAAGTGTATTATCTGTGTACTAGAAACTATGCAATGTTAATGCTAGTTAAAGAAATAGAATATGACTGTAGACACACCATGTCCATGGGTTGGAAGAGTCAGTGTAATAAAGATGTCAATTTCCCTCAAACTGATAAACAAGTTTATGCAATTACTAGCAAAATCTAGAAATACTTTTTACATAGATATGATTATTACTATACATTTGAAAAGGTAAGAATACTACATAAAACTAACTTTGAACTAGAATAAAGCAGAAGGAATGCATCTACCTGATTTTAAGGCTTACCTGACTTGAGTCATCGAGTCTGTGTGGTGTTGGCAGAGAGACAGGCAATGAGAAAAAGAGCAAATTGAGAAACACCAAGAGTATTTCAAAAAGTTTGTGGAAAATCGGCATGGAAAGACATTTCTGATGCTGCAAAAATGTTTTGAAATCCATGTATCCTTCTGATCTGTATTTTCCATGAAGTTTTTGAAGACCCTTCCTACATCCACACCAATATGGCAACTGATTTTTGTCAGTTATGAAAATAATTCTCTGGAGAAGGGACCATCAAACACTTGGTGCTAGTGCAATAGGACAATCAGATAACCAAACATAATTAAACCTCAACCTAAACTTTACATCTAATGTAAAATTCAATTTGAAAGGGATCACAGACTGAAATTTAATATGTAATAGTAAAATTTTAGAAAAATATTCAGTTTCTATGGGTAGGCAGAATTGTTACTTAATTACAATACCAGAAATCATGGAATGAAAATTGGATTAAAACTTTGAATTGAGTAAAAAAACTTTTAATCTGTGATAGCCTAAAGAGAATTAAGTCTAGTAACAGACAGAAGAAGTTATTTGTAAATGATATATGCAGCAAATGCAGAAGAATATTTAAAGGACACTCAAATATCAAAAATTGAAAAAATCCCAAAAGCAAACAATTCAATTACAATATAGATGAAATTCATTAAACATTTCACTAAAGATACATAAGGGAGAAAAAAGTTCATGGAAGTTTTCAACATCATTAACCATTAGGAAAATGCAAATGTTAATGAGGCACCTCTGCATTCCTATCAGAAAAACTCAAAGTAGCAATGCCAGATCCCTCATATGCTGCTAGCCAGACAATAGACTAGTACAGCCACTGTGGGAAACTGACAGTTTCTTTAAAATCCTCAGTGTGGCATATCATACAGTCTAGGAATTACACTCCTATGCATTTGTCATAGAAGAAATTGACTAATTTTCATATAAAACTTATATAAGTGTTTATAGAGACTATATTCATTTTTCAGTAGCTTTATTGAGATAACTCAGACATCAAACAGTTGACGAACCTGAAATGTACAATCCAATATATTTAGTTGCTTCAGGACCAGCTTTATTCAGAATAGAGCGAGAACAATTCTGAGATTTTTGAAAGATTATTGTGCATACTGTGGTTAAGTTTGGCTACTTCCTAGTTACCTGAAAGCACATTTTGGTTATGTAAGTATTATTTACTGCCTTTGCTTCCATTTTTTCTCTTGTAAAATGAAGCATTATATCAATCTTTTAAGGTTATTAAGAGTCAGAGTTCACAGAATGTTGGACACAGTTGCTGGTACAAAGTACGCAATGGCAGTTAAAATGATCACCTAAGTGAAATGTACACAGGTTGCAGAAAATAAGTAGTCTTGAGTTTAGGAAGTTCGTCTTGGTCCTATGGTATTGGCGGAGGGAGTTAGGGGCAAATGCCTTTATCAACAATTGTTTCTTGAATTAACAGGTTTGTACTGCAAGAATATAAGGGGTAAAATTGCTACATTTTCTAAAAATCGGGCATGAAATGCTTGACATATTTAACAAGAAATGCACCTACATATAAAATGCTAAGTTAACTTAATTGTAGACATGTTGCTTACTGGAAAGGGGGGCCATAAGTAGAGCTCTGTGAAATGTGATCTTCCATCATGACTTATTAGGGAATTTCTGCAACTGGACAAGAGAAGCATGGCCTTTCTAACAAAAATTGAACATAGCATTTCTTAGCTATTATTTGTTATTAAGGTGCTAATTAACCAGACAGTGACATTTAATTTCTCATCATAGTACAACTTGCCATGTGCCTGTTGGTATGTATAATTTCTAGGCAAGTTGGAAAGTTAGCATAATTTTTGAAAACTTTATACCTCATAATTAGCATGACAGCCCAGGGGATGCCAAAGACAATTTTATTCCCAAATTACACGTGCCTTTCTCCTTATTGGAAAGTAGTGAGGGGGAAAGAGTAAGGAGGCATGGCTTGTGGTCTCAAATCTGCCCCCCACACCCTGCGTGGCTCTGGTAGAAATAGCAATGCCCTGAGCTTCAGCATCCTCACCCATGGCACAGGAGGAAGCACTCAGTGATCACCAATTACTTCCTGTAGTTCAGCCGAACCTGGATGTCAAGAAAAGTTGGGACTGAGAAAGGAAGAAAAGCAACAAGGATGTGAAATTACCCCTCTTTAGCAGATGGAGAGATGTTAAATACCTAATTCTTCTTCTTCCTCTTGTTTTTTATTTTTTCTTAAAAGTTCTAGGTTTGGGAATTTGGTGCAGTGGGTAAGATGTTGCTTGGGACTTCTGCATTCCATGTTGAAATGCAGAGGTTCTGGTCCCAGCTTCGGGCTAATGCACGCTTTGGGAGACAAATGATGGCTCAAATGCTAGGGTCCCTGCTACCCACATCAGAGACCCAGATTAAGTTCTTAGCTCCTGGTTTCAGCTTGCTCCAACTCTAGCTATTGCAGACATTTGGGCAGTGAACCAACAGATGGGAGAATTCCCCCACTTCCTCTTTACCCTCCCTCTCCCATTTTATTCTCCAGCCCCCTTCTCTCTCACCCTCTTCTCTGTTCCTCTCCGCCTTTATCCCTTTCTATGCCTTTCAAAAAAAAAAAAAATAAGAAAAATCCTAAACTCTCATGTGTTGTATTTTATATTCTTGAAAATTACTAGCTTGCATCTTATAGCTACTACTCATACTCAGATGTGGTGGGAGTTTTTTCCCTTTTTATTTATTTATTTATTTTTTTTGACAGAGTTACAGACAGAGAGAGAAAGGTCTTCCCTCCATTGGTTCACTCTCCAAATGGCTGCAACGGCCAGAGCTGTGCTAATCCAAAGCCAGGAGCCAGGAGCCTCGAGCCTCCTCCAGGTCTCCCATGCGGGTGCAGGGCCCAAGCACCTGGGCCATCCTCCACTGCCTTCCGGGCCACAGCAGAGAGCTGGACTGGAAGAGGAGCAACTGGGATTAGAACCAGTGCCCATATGGGATGCTGGCACCACAAGCGGAGGATTAACCTAGTGCACTGTGGTACCTGCCCCAGTTTTTTCCCTTTTAAAATGTCCCCTATATCCATGTTTGTTTTTAGTAGTCTGATAAGAACCTCAGGTGCATAAAGTTCATTTACCGTACCAACCAAGATCTTAAGATTGTGTTCCATTCTTAACCACCTGCTTTTATCCCCAAGCTTAAAAGTTCCTTTTGTTATCTTCAAAATAGGATTGTTGATGTTCTGTCCTGTTTCTTAAGTTTATGAACCCACCAATAATTATCCAGCATTCTAGCAACTGGTTTGTGACATTTAAACACCTTGATTTCCAAACCAAAAAAAATAAAAATCCTTTTAGAGTATGAATCAAAACTATCAGTAAGTCCATAATTAAGTCAATTTCTATATATTTGAAGCATTCACATCATCTGTGTGATACGTTGCTCACTCTTTATATAATCAAATAGGACTAGAACCATTGTAAAAATCAGACTTCTGAGGCTTTGAGGGCAAATTTATTATCAAATGTCTATAAAAGTCGCAGGAGACAGTATTTCCTTTAAGTACCGTTGAAACCCAACAACTGAATTGCATTCCAGGCCCCTCCAAGGAGTCACAACATTATAATTGCCTCACATTTAATTGCAAGCATTGAAAAATGCAGATGGACAAAGTCATTTTTGTGCCATATATAGAGAAAACAATCACTCTGGATTTCAATATCGCTGGCTCCCTGATTCACTGAAAGCAGGAATTTATACAAGAGCCATGTCTAACAGTGGTGCTGCTATGAAAGTGGACAACTGAGCCCGAAAACACTGCCTCCACTGTTCTGGGGCTGGGCCCCACGCTCAGAGCCTTGCTATTCTCTTTCACTTTGGGGCCTGGCGAGGCAGCTTGCTTTTCCATTTTCTTCCATTGGCCACATTACTTTTTTTTTTCAGTGAATCTTCTGTTGGCTTCCAGGGGAATGTTAGCTTAAGGCCTTGCCTTGCCATCCTCAGATAAAATCAAAGAAATGAAAAATGCCATAGGAAAGCAAAATAGCGTAGCCAGGGTGTACAAGAGGAATACCACCAGTTTCAAGCACTGCTTTGCATAGCTTCTATGGAGCCTGCTCATTAGGGACGTCAGCTTTTCTGGGGTAAGTAAAAGCATCTTGATCCTATCTAAAAAACAGGGAAATGATTACCTATTAGGATCGTGCATTCTAAGTCAGGCTCAGAACATGACTGCTTATCTTTATACTGCATTTGTAACTGCATTTGACTTGCTGCGTGCAAGTTCCACATTGCTTTTCTAGCAGAATGCTGTGTTTTCGTCAGTTGACTTTATTATAATAAACTGATGGCAAATGCTGCTTCCTTATTCAACAGAGCTCAAAGCCTGAATGTACCGGAACACGTTTTGTGATAAATAATATATCATGCACTCATCCAGTGCAGCCCGAGGATGTAGAGGGCGTTAATGCCGTGTTCTCAAATTGGCAAGAAACGACAGCTCTGAGGAAGAGAATAGGATCATTATATTGTGTTCCAATTTCATCTCGATCAACTGAAGCTAGCACAGTGCAGTAGCTCTCTAACTATGGGTGAGAACTCCAGCTTTTCTGAGTCCAAAGGAAAACACTGTTGCTTAAAGAACAACGTGTGTAGTCTGGATGAACTCTGTCCTCCAGAAAAATCTCCATGGGGCAAATAGTGCTAAGATGGACATACTTAGTGTAATCCTACTTGGTGCCCTATTCATAATTTTTTTAATCACTCTGATCAGCTAGTTGTCTAACCTGTATGAGTTCATGTACCTGGTGGAATTCATTTTTTTCCCTTAGAATTTGCTACAAAATCGTGGCCAGGGCAGCCAGCAAGGAGTTCAAAAGCTCCAGGAGGAATCTTGACCTCCAGTAGCCCATCTGGTGGCTCGCTCCTCCTCCTCCCATGGCCCTTTCTCTGTTTCTTCATCTTGTGAACACACTGTCAAGGGTGCTAGGAGTGTTTCCGCATTAGCAGATGCACTGTTACATGAAGCCATTCATCAGGCAGATCACAGATGTTGTTTTCTTTCTAGATGTTACTATAATTACTCTTAATAAACCTACTGAGTTTGTCACTTCATTGCAATAGATGACTTTTTAAAAAATCTATCAAATAATTCATGGCTTAAATTCTCTAAGGTTTATGTGGCATTTCTACCTTGGAGGGTTCAGGCTCTCTCCTCAGCTTTTCACAATGTATTGCTGGAAGGATGTAGTAATTAACTTCACGTGTGAGGGATGAACAGGCTCTTGAGGCACTGAAGATTGAACCCACATGCTGAGTTGGCAATCAAATCACGTGCCCCTTCTGTTAAAACATGGGTGTTGATTTGAGGCACGTGGTGCTGGTAAATCCAGTTAAAGCAGGCTGTGCCTTTATGAGGGAACGATGCTGAGGAAGGGAGGGAAGCTTCGTGCAGCTGCCTGGTTTCCAAATGGTGAAACTTGTATCTGGAGAAATGAAGCCCAGTGACTGAGACAGAACCACACCAGAATCCAGGGCTCATGGCTCTCAAGCCTCTGTTGAATCTTCTCCCACAGCCCTTCTTGGAATGTCCCATGCCACATCAGACCGATGCAACTGTCCTGAAGGATGCAAGAGTGAATTACACAGGTTGAATTTCTGAGACTGATTCTGTCTGTTTTACTTCTCCCCTAAAACTAACACTTAGCAAGTATCAAATCCTAGATTTCAGCCTATGGAGCGCCATCTTCTTTGTTGACTAAACAGCATTGATTTCTCCTCTTCCAGAGGTACTCTTTGAAACTTTAAAAGTGGAAGCTTCCAGAGCTCTTCCTTCCTGCCACTTCTTAGTTGCTTGTCATAGACACTTTTATCTGTATTTTTAAAATGTTTTTATTGACTCAAAAGCCTAATTTACTCGTGGGCTGGCCCAGGCAGAAGCAGGAGCTTCATGAGTCGCCCACATGGGTGGCAGGGTCCTGAGCATTTGGGCCATCTCCTTCTGCTTTGCCAGGCACATGGGCAGGGAGCGGCTGGGACCTGAAATCGTGCTCAAACCAGATGCTGGCATCACAGGCAGAAGCCTCGCCCGCTATACTAAAGTGCAGGCTCCCATGCAGTCTGAGGTTGAGTAATTGAGTAGTATCAGTAATGGTAATGGGGTTTTGTAGGAAAACCATAGGCATTGGAAGGGTTCTTAGTTTCAAATCCCTGTTCTACTTAGTGTGACCTTGGGCAAGTTAATCACCCTCTAAAATACACACACACACACACACGGAGACAGGAAAGAGACCTACTACAATGCAAGGATTGCCTCAAAGGGAACCCTAGTAATTGCTAGCCATTACTATTGATTGGAGGCGTTTTTAACCATCATGGCACTCTTAAATTACAAGTTTTTAATGTCTGGAGGCAAGTGGACCCTTACTTCTGTTTTGAGTGTTTGTGATTACGAGCTGCCATGGCCCATGTGGGAAGACTAGCATATGGTCGGCAGCCTGCATGCAGCCTATATTCTTTGGGAAGACACTCTTATCTCCAAAGTGTCTGCAAGTTCTCTGCTGTGCTGTACTACCAATCTGAATTCACCAAATTCCAGAAATGACACAGGAACACAAGAATACATTGAATATGTCTTTGCATCTGCCTGATGAAATGAAAATTTCAGGGCCAGTGCTGTGGCTTACTTGGTTAATCCTCCACCTGCAGCACTGGCATCCCATGTGGGTGCTGGATTCTGTCCCAGTTGCTCCTCTTCCAGTCCAGCTCTCTGCTGTGGCCCGAGAAGGCAGTGGAGGATGGCCCAAGTGCTTAGGCCCTGCACCTGCATGGGAGACGAGGAGGAAGCACCTGGCTCCTGGCTTTGGATTGGCGCAGCGCACCGGCTGTAGTGGCCATTTCGGGGGTGAACCCACGGAAGGAGGACCTCTCTGTGTCTCTCTAACTCTATAAAAAAAAAGTAAAAAATTAAATTCCAGATCCTTCCACTCACTGGTGAGCTTGATGGTGAAATTTTCCCACACACCACCATGTATTCTCTATTTCCTTTCCCCCAAAAGCAACATAGAGCAGTGGTTCTCAAAATGTGTTTCCTGGGCCCATAGTTAGGAACTTGTTAGAAAAACAAAATCCCAGGCTCTGCTCCCAGACACCTGAGGTCAACAGTTCTGGGGATGACTCAGATATCCATTTCTAACAAGCATCCAGGTGGTTCTGATGGTCACTTTGGGATACAGAACCATGGCTTGGGGAAGCTGCCCAGCTGTTGAGTGAATGGCAGTGTTGCTCAAAGTGGAGGACATGTGCCAGCATAGTACTCAAAATGATCTTAGCTGGGACGACGATGCCTTTAGGTGATAGTCTGATGTGGCACCAGACAGCAGAATCACATAGGGGATGTTTTTCCCTCTCTTAATTTTCGGTGAGGACCCAAGTTTGCTGTTACTAGGTCTTTAATAGCTCTTTAATTGGTAGTAACCTTTGCACCAAAGGGGTCAGAAAAAATCTCATGTCCTTGCGGGCAGTAGGATCTAGCTAGAATTTAGTGATATTTTGTTTCTTCTATCTGTGGCGCATTATATAAGTGATGTAAACAAAATTTCTTTATAAATGCTACAAACTAAGAAAATGGTAATACAGTTGGCTCTAATTCCATTTGTGCTGTGTATTAGCTGTGCTGTTTTCCTTTGCCTCTATTTTTTTCTCTACCAACTGGGGATGATACTAACATCACAAAAGGGGTAAAAGATAATATGTGTGGAAAATGTCTGATACAATCCTCAGAATATGATAGACACTTGGCGGTATTATTTCTTTGAGGATGATTTGAAGTCCAGTTAGTGTGTTGCCTTCAAAATTGAATTTCTGTCTAGGATTCAGATTCCTCACTTGTAAGATGGTAGAAAAACAGAACTGGCTGTCTGGAAGTTCCCTCTCAAATCTTAACTGTGTGTACATAGGTATATTGTATGCATGTGTGTATATACACGTATAATAAAGTCTGCATTTACTTGTATATAAGTATGGCTGAGGCAGAAAAGTAGTTTTATTCCCTCGATGTAAAGCTTGAGTGTTTGGGAGTATTGTTGAAGGCAGTTGACTGTGTTGAATAAATGAAAAATCAACTCAGGAATGTAGGCGCTGATGTACATTTCAGAGCTCAAAGGTAATTTCATTGTATTTTTATCATCTGTCAAATTTAAAGCAATACTGTGACTAGAAAATAGATTGTCACAAAGGTTTCTTCGAGGACAATGGTTTCCATGATTTGGTGCAAATATATTCAGAGACTTCTTCCTTTTTAATAATCATATTTTTCCTTCTGAATTGCTGATGCGCTCACATTTGAAAGGCAGTTTGTCCTTTGTTGTCAACTGAACTTGATGGAATAATAGAAAATTCTAAAAAATTCAATCAGATTGTGTTGCTTCTCAAAGGAATTTCTTGACTATTTACACTACTTAAAGAGAAAAAGAAGAGACAGTATTTCTTTGGTCTTGTACAAAGCACGAACTAAATTTAACAGTGCAGGTTCTAGTTAACGTGCTGACTGGGTTTGGGGGTCCTTGGAAGGGAAGAAGTGGTACGTAAAGTTTTGGAAGATTGGAGTGTCAGGAAATCACAGGTTGTAATCAGCAGTCTATATATCTCAAACAGTGTTGTCAATCTACAGAACTAAAAACACAAAAATGGCAGAACTAGCTCATCTAAATCGGCAAATAAAATAGCTTGCCTTTTTTTTTTTTTTACATAACTGACTATTAAAAGGACCCAGAAGCTAGATTCTCGGAAATGTTGGCACTTCGATGAAATGCCCCAGTGGGGCCAGTTGACTTGATTCAACAGGCACCTCACTGAAAATTACAGTGTAAAATGCAGGGAGTTTCTAGTCAAATGGATGAAGATTCAACCTGCCATCTTTTTTGAGTTCCAGTTTCCTTATCTAGAAATTGAGGATAAAATGTTCCTACTGGAGCCAGTATTGTGGCATAGCGGGTTAAGCTGCCACTTGCAAAACTGGTATTCCATATTGACACCAGTTCATATCCCAGCTGATTGAGCACCCTGCTATGCACCTGGGAAAGCAATAGAAGATGGCTCAACTCCTTGGGACCCTGCATCCATGTGGAAACCCTAGATAGAAGCT